TATAGAAATTCAAATAAATGATCCTCTTTCGCTCAAGACTTCATAATTCCTTCTCTCCCTCTCCTTTATGATCAACTAATTTACAAATTAAGACAATAAGAAGTTGTATGAACGAAAATGGGATAATCAAGCGGATGAGTGAATGCAAAGGAGGTTTCATGTTGGATTTAAGATTGGGAACGCTTCCCTGTTATCGACTGTTTCCATGGTAATAGATGAAAATTTCTTTACCCACAGAGCCGGCCTCTCGATTAGTTCATGCGCGTCACCGCTATTAAATTCTGATTGAACAGTTCCCATAAGCCTGAGCAATCTCCCCTATTATCTCTGTCGACATAAAAACTTATTATTTTGCTCCCACCAGGTGGTGTGCATGTTTTGTTTACGTCTCAGTTCATCAAATTCGGAACACTTGCTCCTTTGTTTTCTGGAGGGGGAAGACTCTTATAAGATGGCTACCATGTGGATATTAGCGTGCTCCAAAATTTAATAATTTAATTATAAATTGTAGTGGACAATCAAAACCACAAATTTGGGCATTGTTGCTCATTATTGGAATGTATGTTATAATTTGAATATCTGAAGTTAGTGATTTTGTACAGTGGTGAAGGTTATATAGCATTTGCTCCGATTTGTGGTAAGTGTTCAGCGTGTACTATGTGTTACTTCCACAGTTGAGAATATATTTCATTTAATTCAGGATAAAATGAATCATCATCATTAATATTGGCATGTACGTATGTTTTTTTTTTCATTTCCCGCTGATCGCCAAGGTTTAATTCCTAGGAAGTGATTGATTTTACTCCAATCGCTGAGTAATTAGAATTTGTGTTATTGTCCTAACCATGTAAAGCCACGGGTATGCTGTGGTAATTACTGGGGATCAAACCATCCTTTAAGAATCTTCTTCATCTGCGAGTTGGGTACTGGATCTCCCAAAAATATTTTGTTATTGAACGGTTCCAGAAGACGGAGAATGATTCGTTATTCAGGTACGTCAGAGTTCTTTGAAGGCGGATTCTTCTTTTCGTAATTCAAGTCCATAATCTTCAAATAGAACCACAAATATTTGCAATTCAATAATGTTGATATTCACG